TACTTTGGTTTTGACCGTTTAAACACTTTTAGAGGCATTTTGCAAAATCTTTTAAGTGAAGAAACCTCATGCAGCAGTAAAAGATAAAAATGATTATACCTAAGCAGAGCTGCAGACACACTAATCTCTCTACTCTTTTATCTAAGTGACTTTTGACTCGCCACAAAGTTACCTTTGACTTCATTCTTGACTTCATCAAATCAACAAGATCTTTGCCGGAGTATTTCAATAAGATCTTCATCACTTTCATCCACCACCTCCAAAAATGAGTATTTTTAAATATATTATTCATTATGATAATTAATTGTAATTGTTAAAAAATGTATTAGTCCTTATGAAATGAAAAATAATTATTGTAAAAATTAGTTATTGTGAAAATTAACCATTGTGAAAATTAGTCAGTGTGAAAATTAATCGTTATAAAAATTAGTCATTGTAAAAACTAATCGTTAAAACTAGTCATTATAAAACTAACTCGTTGTAAAAACTAACCATGGTAAAAACTAGTAGTTGTGAATCTATATATACTTATGGAATGTTATACAATATCTTTATTCTTCTAATATTACAATATTATTCTTTGTTTTCAAAGAATTATCCATACAATGAATTTTAAAAATATTGATTTAGAAATATTGTTGGATCAAATCATAAATAAAGAACTTGAAGATAATAATGATGAATAAATAATGAAGTTATTACTTGAGTACCAACAACAAATCGACAACAATGGTGGTAACAGACAAAAAAGAAAAGTAATTTATCAAAATCGTAAAAAATGTCATCATCGATTATTCAATGACTATTTTATTGAAAATATCATATATACAAAATATCAACTTTGAAGAAGGTTCCGTATCTGAAGGGAAGTTTTTGTAAGAATTGTGGAAACCCTTGACAATCACGTTGATTACTTTACACCGAGGTTAGATGTAATAGGAAGATGAGGTCTATCACATTTTCTCAAAAGTACAATGTTGTTCACATATTGACTTATGGCTCACTTGCTGATAATGCAAACATAGATATTTAAATTAGTGAAAGTACTACAGTAGAATGTTTACAACAATTTGTATCGGACATTTGTGCAGTATTTGGAAATGAATATTTAAGAAAGCCTAACAACGAATATATTGATCGACTACTACAAATGAGAGTAACACATGACATTCCAAGTATATTTAGATTAATTGATTGCATGCATTGGGAATGAAAAAATTATCCAATTGCATGAAAATATCAATTTTGTCAAGGTAATCATGCTAACTCAACAATCATTCTCGAAGTTGTGACATCACAAGACTTGTAGATTTGACATACATTTTTTGGTATCCCAGGGTCAAATAATGATATTACTTTGTTAAATACATCTAATATGTTTAACAAAGTTATATATGTGATGCACTACACCGTTAATAGAACACAATATGATATAAAATATTACTTAAAAAATGATATTAGTCCAAATTTTACCATATTTTTAAAAACTATTTTAATGTCGAAGAAGAAAAGAAAAAATTACTCATTCAATAATAAGAGTCGACAAGAAAATAGGTTGAACGAGTATTTTAAAGTCTTTTCAATCTCGATTTACAAATATACGCTATCTAACACATTTTGGACATGCACATACCCCGAACAACATAATTTATGCATATATCATATTACACAATATGATTCTTAAGCACGAATGACATACTTATGTTGATTATAATATTAAAAAAATGACATGATAACTATTGATATATCTTCAAGTCTTCATCCTAATTTTATATCTACATAATTTCAAAGGAAAGCAACACTTCAATATAGAAACATTCATCACCAACTTCAAATAGATTTGGTAAAACATATTTAACAAAAATTTGGGAGAATGATGAAAATTAATTTTATACGATATATTTTCTAATGTTATTTGATTTTCATTATATTTATTTAAATATTGTGTATTTTATATTATTTTTAAATTAAAATATGATAGTATATTATTAACTAAAATAATTAATTATTTAATGAATATATTTATTTAATTTTTATATAAAATATTAAAATAATATATAAAGAATATAGAAAATAATGAATTATTTAAAATTTCTTAAGATTTTTCTTATTGAAATAAAATTAAAGTTACTTTCCCTCTGAAGCAACTCTTTAGAGATGCTTCCATTGGATATGCCCTCCATCAATCAAACGTTTGAAAGAGAGGGTTCAAACAAAAGTGGACTTAATTTATGAGGACAAAGTGAGCAATCCATTATAGTAGTAGATGATTTACACCCCAACATACCATAATCAGATAACAAATCCAAGTAATACTTTTGTTGATAAAGAGAAATTCCAGCATTGATACATTAACTTCTAGACGCAAAAAAATACTTTAAGATACCCTAAATCCTTGATGTGAAAATTAGAATTTGAGACCTGCTTAACAACATCAATTTCATTCAAATAATTATTAGCCAAGAGTATATCATCAACAAATGACAGAAACATATAAATGTGTTAGTAATTATATTCAATCCTTGTATTGAGGTGTGTAAAGGCGACAAGAATAATACCTTTGGAGGCATAATATTTCCTTTATGAAAATTTTGAAACCATCATGTCGTAACGAAGAAATTTTATCTTGGAATTAAACTGTGTTTCAACTAAGGTATTGAAGGTTTGAATATTAATTTGGACCACCACCTTTGCTTTTAATAAAGCAACCCGAGTAAATGAACTAAAATCATCAACACTTATAAGAAACTTTGTGAGGCAATAATTGATTTTTCTGCTACTGTCAGAATCATCAATGAAAAAGATAAATCAATTTTGAGAAAGCATTCAGTTTCCACACTGAAATCAATGAATAGTACAGTTGAACAAATGAATGTCTTTAGGCATAATTTTCTTTAACAAAGGTACTGGAATGAATAAAACAATGTTTCAGAATAAATTTGTATTTCATTATGTTAATTTCCACTCACTTTTCTCACTAAACAGAGAGGGAGTTACCTGTTTTCTTTCGCTGCTCTTATCTCTTAAGCCAAAATAATTTAAAACTTTTTATTATACTATCTTCATTTTGCTTCCATTATCAAAGGTATGTATTTGGCCTAAATCTTATTACAATGACAACAAAATATTCCATCTTGCAAAAATGCTATTTTTGATTTCTTTGCTACCATTTTGAACTGTCTTTCCCTCTGCCATACACAGTTATTTTGTTCCTGATAATCCAAATTGTGACCACTACAATAAAAAGTAAGATAATTATCAGTTCTTGAAACCAGATGTGTTTTAAAATCTCCATTGATCTGTATCTTCTTTGTATAAAAATTAATAAAATAGGAAAGTAACTGCCAGATTCTCCCATATAAGCACTGGCTGCTTATTTTGCATGTTCAAACAAATATGCCCACAAACCAAGATCAATAATAAGACAGACTAGACAAAATTTTAAGAAATGGACACGTGAATGCAATGCATCTAATGAAACTAAATAATATTTACGTAGTGGAGAGTCGCGCCAATATTTAATGACAAAGACCATCTAATGATATTCAGGAGCGTTAGATAATTGATTCAGAATGGGAAGGAAAGCAACAAATAGCATATAGAGATACTAATGTCAGGCATTTTATCTAGAAGTCTAAATTGTGGACTTCTTCACTAAACAAAAACAAGTGATATGTCCAAACAATTTAAACATAAGTAAAAGTGTTTCAGTGAAAATTGACCTTTCGCAAGTATTCTCATTGAGGATTAAGTAGATCCAAAACAGATTTCCTATCAGGCATGCTGGGAGAGGCTCCCTTCACTTGAACGCAAAGACAAGCTGCAGCAGCTGTTGCAGACATTATAGTTAGCCATGTTTTACCAAAGAGAAAACTCTGTAAAGAAAAAAAAAATGCATTCCGCCATACATACCAGCAAATCTGAGGCATTCCGTTTTGGACTTGCCCTCAACCAAGGCCACAGCAAAAGCAGCAGTAAAAGTATCACCAGCACCAGTTGTATCAACAACTGTTTTAGCTACTATGGCAGGCTGCTGAATCGGTTTTTCTCCTTCTACAAAAAGGGCAGATCCTTTCTGCCCAAGTTTTACTAGAACTTGCTTAACTCCCTGCAATGTCAGACAATGAACCATTGAATTGCAATGTTCATGGCAATAAAAATCATCTATCATTGAATCAACCAAGACATTTGAAGATAAATTCTTACACAACTGCAAGTCTACTACAGCCATTGAGTAACAATGCAGAGAAAATAGAAGAAATAGCAGAATTAATAGTTTATTGGACATTAGCTATCGTTCTTCCCCTAGAGTTTCCCTTCCCCTTACGTTGCATTTGCATTTAATTGGATTCAATGAAAAGAAAGTCAAATAAAAATTATAATCTCCTCCCCATTCTTTTCCCCAGGAAGGTTGTAAATGCCAAGAGGAGTAAACAGCTCCATTTCCCCAAACACAAAGAAGTAATCGTTCAACACCTTGTTTAGGAGAAAATGCCACCAAATAAAGGCAGTAAGACCCAGATATGAGGCCATGTCTTTCTGTAGAAGGATCTCTAATAAACATCAATAGGATGGTCATTTCTTTCTGTAGTGACACTGGATGCCATCTATGCAGCCATATAATATAACGCTAAACAAGGGAAGGACTACTAGTTAGCAGAAAGTCTCAAAGTTACATCAGATCTTCAAATATTACATTTGAAAAATTGTGCTTTCATCCTCAAGGTTTTTAACAAACAGTCACCCACCACAATTGCAAATGCATTTGTCAGAAATTTGGTTTGGATACTAAGAATCACAATATAACCACAACTGCAACCATACCCACATTTGTCAAAATTCTAAGCAAGACATTCACAAGGTTATAAAAAACAGTCAACAAATGCAATTGCAACCACGTTTATATGCAATCTTCCTCAACAATAAGAATCAAAACAAAGCCGCAATTGCAACTATAATCGCAATTTGAAACCTTATACATCCTCATGCTACAAAAATGGCATTCAATTAGCAAAATGCACAAACCATATAATTATGATTTCAAAATTCCATACATAACCTCACCATTTCATGGCATTTCAAAGCAGCCTGTGCAATCTGTTCAAAACTTTCAGTCGGCATTCCAGTAAGACGTGCAAGTTCAGTTTCATTAGGACTCAAAATATCAACAAAATTCAATATTTGCGGCGGAAGTGGTCCATCCATGCCTCCAGCATCCAATACAACAGGCACACCAGCATTCCTCGCAGCCTGCATGCATTACAAGATCATAACACATAACGCAATGCAAAGTTTCTTAAGCGGTTTTACTATTGTTCTTGGATCAAAATCAGTACGAGATAAAACACAAAAATTCATGTTAGAAAACAATATAGTTTTGTCAAAAACACATTCCTAAAAGGCCTGGGCCGGGCCGGCCCCACCTGTGCGACTTGAGCATTGACATAATCAGGGATCTCCCTCTGCAGCAAAACGATGCCGGCTTGGGCAACGAGGTCCAAATGCTGACGTGGCAGGGCACTGGGCCAGCCACTCAAGTTGGCACCCCCAATGATGATGATGGAGTTCTGGCCATTGGATTGAAGCATCACAACGGCGTGACCCGTGGGTACGGACGGAACCACTGTCAGATTATCGAGGCGCACGCCGCCGCCGCGAAGGGCGCCGGTGACAAGGCTACCATAAGCGTCGTCGCCAACCTGTCCGACGAAGTAGGTCGGGTGGGAGAGCTTGGCGGAGCACGTGGCCTGGTTGGCACCCTTGCCGCCGGCGAGCGTCTCGCCAGACTTCGCAGCAAGGGTCTCGCCCTCGCGCGGGAGCCGGTCGATCTCAACATAGATATCGGCGTTGGCGGAGCCGATGACGACCACCGGTGGCGGCTGCGAGGGGTTGGAAGAGAAGCAGAGGAGTCTGAAATTGTGATTGCGATTGTGAGTGCGGAAGGAGAGGGATTGGATTGGCGTAACGGGAGTGTGGAATGTGGTTGTGGTGTGGGAATGGGAAAATTGGTGCTTTGAAAATGTTGTTGTGACGCTGTCCATTTTTGTTGTTTGGGTTCGATTCGTTTCTTTTGATCGTTAGATCTCTTCTGGGCGTAGCTATGAATCCACCCTGCAAGGGTCCAGCAGATGAAGCTAATTACTAGGAAAAGGTGGACTTTTTTGGGCTGCCTTTTTGCTATTTTTTAAATTAATATGATTGCTTTCATGGGTTTTGTGAATAAATTACTCTTTCGGATAAGGATGGGGCTTAATTTTATTTATTATTCTTTTCATTTTAAGATGGTCATTTTTAATAATTATGATATACTTATTGGCAAAATATTTAATTAATACAAATTTAGTTAAAATATTTTTAATTTTTTCAATTATTTTTGTCTCTTCTAACTTAAATGTTTTGATTAAAACTGTCATTATTCTAGACTTAAAATACACAATTTTTTAACAGAGGGACTAAAAATTAATAATAGTTAGAAAGGCTAGTTTCACAATTGAATTCTGTTATGTATACTACTATCTAACTAACTAATTTTGAGAAAAAAATTACTGAAAACATAAATACACTCCAGTGCCCCCCTTCATCTCATGGTGGATGTATTCATGTTCTTTGACTTTGTCACGAAGAGGATAAAAACAGATTGGTAGAACTGACTTGAGTTTCTAGATCAGCAGTTGATCAGTTGTAGGAACATGTTGAACTACTAGAGCTCTGGAACCTACTTTCTCACACACAGTGAATATTTAGTTCAATGTGTTCTGCCGAGAATGTAAAACAGGATTATGCGACAAGGAAATTGCACTCAAATTATCACGATAAAAAAGCAGAGTTATTCTGTCAGTTCATCCCATCACAGAGACTATCCGTATGTATGCTTCCATTTTCAGGATCTTTCTCTCTGCCATTCATAGTTATTCTGTTCTTGATAGTCCGAATTGTGACCTTTGACAACTAAAAGTGGGATTGTTATCAGTCATTGAGACTGTATGTGTGTTTCGAGATCTTCACTGATTTGTATCTCCTGGGTAAAAAATTGATAAAATAAGAAAGAAACTAATGGAATTTCTAATTTAAGAACTAAATGCTCATTTAAATGCTCATTTTTCATGTAGAAAACAAGTATGTCCACAAACACGGAACGATAGGATAGAGAATTTTTTAATAGATGGACACATGAATTGTACTAGGAATGCATCTTATATGACTAAATAGTAATTATACAGTTGAAAATTGTCTCAGAAAATGTAATGACTAATTCAATTTACAGTCAGGAACATAGAAAATTGACACTGAACAGCCAGGAAACAACCAAAAAAATAGCATATACAGATATTGATACAAGGAACTTTCTCTAAAAGTCTAAATTATGGGTTTTTTTTTTCACTAAAAAAGAATGAGCGAGAAAATCCAGACAAATGAAACAAAGGTAAAATGAGTTTTAGTGAAGATTGACCTTTTGAAAAAATTCTCATTGACAATTGTGAAGATCCGAAACAGATATCCTATCAGGCATGCTGGGAGAGGCTCCCTTCACTTGAACACAAAGACAAGCTGCAGCAGCTGTGGGAGAACATAATAGTTAGGCACAATATTCCAAAGAGAAAATTCTAGAAAGAGAAAAGAATTGCATTACACACACCGGCAAATCTGAGGCAGTCCTTCTTGGAGTTGCCCTCAACTAAGGCCACAGCAAAAGCAGAAGTCAAAGTATCACCGGCACCAGTTGTATCAATGACTGTTTTAGCGAGTATGGCAGGCTGCTGAATTGGGTTTTCTCCTTCTATAAAAAGGGCAGATCCTTTGTGGCCAAGTTTCGCAAGAACTTGCTTAGCTCCCTGAAATTTAGATAATAACACCAGAACTAGAACAATTGAAACTATGGCAAAAAGTTAAATTAACAAATGCATAAAGGAAATAAACTTTTAAAGAAATAAAATAAGAGTTCTAACTAAAAGTTAATGTATGTAAGTTGATGATTTTAACTCACAGGAGATGTTTAATTCAATTGACCTAAAATTGCTAATTGAAAAGTTTATCCAAAATGGGAGGATATATTTAAAATTTGTTGTTCTTCATAGCCATCCCCAAGGTTTTAAAAAACAGCTGCCAATCACAATTGCAACCATTATTCTAAGAAATTTTCCTCAATATTCAGTATCACAACAAAAGCGCAACTGCGACTACACTCGTGGGCAATTTCCCTCGGTACTAAATATTGTGAGTTTGAGAAAACCGCAATTGCAATGAAAACCAGAGCACAAAACCTTGGATATCCTTACAAGATGAATGCAGCATTCAAATAGCACATTACACAAAAGCATTTCAGTCTGATCGCTAAAGTCCCAATTTAAACTCACCAATTCATGGCATTTCAAAGCAGCCCGTGCAATCTCTTCAAAACTTTCCGTTGGCATTCCCGTAAGGCGAGCAAGTTCAGTTTCATTAGGACTCAAAATATCAACAAAACCCAATAATTCCGGCGGAAGTGGCCCATCAATTCCTCCAGCATCCAACACAACCGGCACATCAGCATTCCTTGCAGCCTGCGAGCATTACAAGATAATATCACATAATGCAATATCCAAAATGCCTCACAAATACGATCTACAAAATCGAGCACAGAATTTGGAGCCAAAAGTTTCTTAGCTACTTTTACTATTTTTCATCTATTATCATTAAAATATTCATCTTATTTATTCTTAAGGTAATTTAGAGTTTATATATGTGTTTCTGGTAGAATTTTGATTAATTTCGATTCTTAAGAGGCTTTGATACTAACCAAAACTCAACCAAATAGATTCTTTATACTTAGGCTAGCAACTGGATTTCAATCGAAATGCGTATGAGAATCGAAAGCACCACTATATAGAAGATACTAAGATTAATAATCGAAATCACTATTTTTGGTATTTTGTATTTGAAGTACTCGAAATAAGGAAAACAGTAAAGTGACAAATCGAAAAGCAGTGCCGAATGTAAAACTGCGTAGAAATATTAAATTGCAGAAAATGTAAAGTGCAGAAACCTTAAAATTGCATTAAATGTAAATGGTTGTCGCCGCCGTCAAAACGAGGCGGTCAGAGCGACGCGATGGTTTTTTCGACCCTCTTTGATTTTCGCGTTTTTTATGGGTGGTTACAACGTCCTTAGGTTGTCCGATAACCGGGCTAACATAGAGACAAGGTTTTCGAAAAGTGTTCTTGGGTTGTCCGATAACCGGGCTAACCCAAGAACGGGTCTTGAAGGGTTCGTGGAGTCGCCACCGATGTTTTTACCGGAAACATCGGAAAAGGAGTTTAAAAAGGCGTTGGTTTTCAAAAACCAACTTTGGTCATTAGAACCAGAGTTGGGTAAGGGAGTTAGTTACGTGTAAAGGAAGTGTTAGTTCCTTTACGACGCCCCTTTCGGGTTCCCTATGATAGGCCGGCTACTTTGGATAAATAATTAAACTGGAAAATTGCGCTTTTACCCTTTTATTATGCGGTATTTAAATTTGTGACTACATGGCCCTAATGTCTATTGCATAATTTAAATGGAAGCGGTAAAGTAAATAAAGAGGTTTATGAACCTTCGAAGCAAGCTTTCTTATATTCTTTGAAAGAGGGTGCTTTGTGGCAGCCCTTCACTCTACAACGCTCAGAAACTCCGGAAATGCCTCGGAGGGATTCTAAAGAAGATTTAGAACGCTCAAAATTCTCCTAAAGACACTCAGAAACTCCGGAAATGCTTCGGAGGGGTTCTAGAGAGAGAAAATCTAGAGAGAAGGAGGAGGAATTGTGTTTTTCTCTGTGGAAATGAGGGGGGGAGAGCCCCTATTTATAGTTTTTCGCGCCTGACAGGTCGAGACCGCCGTTTCGTCTGACAGGGTCGAGACCGCCGTCAGGACAATCCAGACCGCCGTCTCGACCATGGCAGAGGTCGAGACCGTCGTCTGGATAATCCAGACCGCCGTCTCGACTAGGCAGAAGTCGAGATCGCCGTCTGGATAATCCAGAACGCCGTCTCGGCCTTTTCAGGTGACGAGACCGCCGTCTGGACAAGCGAGACGGCAGTCTCGTCCCTGGTGTGAGGCGAGACGGCGGTCTGGTTCTTCCAGACGGCGGTCTCGTCCCTTCAGGGCGAGAAACTTTATTTTTCGGGCCAAAAAACACTCCTACCTTAGTACGGGGGCCTAATAGTTTCTCCTAGTGGCTTGTTAGGCTTCGACTGTCTTCAAATAGGGGGTCTTCCGACTTTATTTGGAGGCCGGGCAAGATTTGGGGTCTACAGCTGCCCCCTTTACCCGACTCGGCCGATCGCCGGCCTTTTGTGCCAAGGTGATCGACTGGAGGGTAAAGGAGTTGACCCTCTTGCCGGCTTTCCTTCGGATACTCCGTCTTTGCGGCGGGTGATCCTCTGGGGAGATGTTGTGTTGTGCGCTTCCGGGATGCTCCTTTGTCGCGATAGCTGACCCCTTCGGCCGATGAGTACGAACCCTCATCCGGCTTGACGAGTATGAACCCCGCCCGGTAAGCCCCCTTCCGTAAGGCTCGATGAGTACACACCCCCATCCGGTGTTTGACGAGTATGAACCCCCGCCTCGGTAAGCCCTCTTCCGTAAGGCCCGATGAGTACACACCCCCATCCGGTGTTAAGCCTCCGGATGCTCCATCTTGCGGTTGCTGATCCTTTGGCTGACGAGTATGAACCCCCGTCTAGTTATGTGCCTCTGGATGCCCCTTCTTGCGGTGGCTGATCCTTTGGCAATGGTGGCGGCTTACTGATTCTGACCATGCACCGGCTTCCTGGGGAGTGTTTTCTGTGTTTGGTAAATTGTTTTTTGGACTTCTTGGATGGTCGTTCGGGCTTTGCCGGGGATTTTGTTGGTTGTCCATCCAGCTTTGTCGGTTGCTGGGGATTCTTTGTTTTTTTACTTTTGGTGGTAGTCATTCGACTCTTGCTGGTTGGTCGGGTTATCTCTCTTTGTGTTCGACTCTTGGTAGTCGATCCTGCCTTTTTCTCGCGGTTTTATCTCTTTTTTCTCACGATTTTGGATTTTGGCTTTTTTCTTGAGCGTATGCCTTTTCTCTTTTAAGTTATTTTTGTTACGCTGACTTTTGTAAAAGAAGGCAAAGAATGCATGGAATAAAATTTTATTCATGGAAAATTTTATTACAACAGCTTTTATTTAGGTAAATGTAGTCCCTAAGGGCTATCATCAGGGGAATCGGAGTAAGGAAACCCTTTGTACATGTGATACCGGAAGTCTACTTGCTCTTGGACTTCGTCACGGTAGTCCTCTTGGAATGTCGTCCATTCCTGCCGCAACCTCTGCTGTTCCTGGTAGATCTCGTCCTGGCGAGCTTGATAGGCCTGCTGGCGAGCATCGTGGGCCTGTTGCCACCGGGTCCGCTCGCTCTCGCCATACCGCTATTTGGGCGAACCGTCGCTCGGATCATTCATGTGTTGGTGCATACCAAGCAAAGTCCTTTGTGTATGGTGGTGGTTGTTGCTCGTCGTTGTTGCCGTTGGGAGCCGGGGATGTGGGCATATCCCGCATCGCCACGATCCCCTGGAGATCCAGCTCGAAGTCCGGGGAGGGGTGCAGGGCGAACTGGTTTCCCGACGTATCAGCATTCCCATGCCGACTCGACATTGGCCCATTGATGGGCTCGGGTCGTAGGTTGCGGCCGCCTCTTCCCAGCCCGGCACCCCTTCTCTCTCGCGTAGGGGTGATGAGGGGAGCTATGAGGACGACCCCGTGGATCTCGCTCCCAAAGTCCTTAAGGGCCCTTAGGAGAAAGTATCCGGGTTGCGCGCCGCCTCTAGTGCATGCAATAGAGGGCAAAGAGATCAAGGAGGGATATCTTACCCCGGCTTTCCTTCCTCCCATGGATTGTGCTCGCCAGCCAGCCTTGTGGCAAATGCGAGTGCCAGGTTGCGGTAAGTGAGCCTCTCATCAAAGTGGGCAGTGTGGTTGCTCCCGTGAGCTCATGCCACATTTCCGCGGGGCTAAGGTTGGCGGGCCGAGAGCAGATGGCCTCTCGGTATTCCCGGTCGCGCTTCCTCGGCCGGATAAATCCAATGGACACATTGAATTCTTCCAGTGGTGGTGGTGTGGTATTGCCCACCCATGAAATAGTTGACCATTTTAGTGGGCCGCATGCCCGAGGCCATGGAGGGGATCTCGATGAGAGAGACGGAGGCCAAGAATTCTTGTACCGCTTGGGGGTACACATGTGTGGGTGGGGTTCGCAGCAGAAAGCCCCACCCAATGCCGTCGATGTGGGTTCCGACGTCTTCTTCCCATCCAAATTCGGCCAGAACGCCGAAGTCCAAGTGTCGCATGGAGTGCCACCGGTAGTTCCTAATGTTGTCCGAGCGGGCTCGGTGCCGTGGTGACAGCTCGAGAAGGATCCGGGGTGGCGGTGGTGCCGAGCCGCTAGCACCGGCCGTGCCCCTTCTCTTCCCGGAGGCACTTCGCCGAACATCTTGAGCAGGGAAGGCTTGGAGGAGTAGAAATATGAGTTCCGGAGGCTTATGAGGCAAGGAGAGTTGTGAGGAAACCCATCCAGTGCGCGCCCCTTATATAGGAAAATTTTCGGACCGAGACCACCGTTCGGGAAGTCGAGACGGCAGCCTCGCTTGGGTTGCCGGGTCGAGACGGCGGTCTCGGAGGTTCCGGACGGTGATCTCGATTTGCCTCGAGTCGAGACGGCGGTCCGGAGGTTCCGGACGGCGGTCTCGACTTTGCCCGAATTGAGATGGCGGTTCTGTTCCTCGAGACTGCGGTCTCGATTTTGTAGGGAATCGAGACTGCGGTCCTGGAATGTCCAGCACGGCGGCCTCGAATTTCCGGTGTTTTTTTTTTTTTTGAATAAGAAACAGGACTCGGTTCAAAAACATTTTATGCATGCAAATGTTTTCATGTTTGATGCCCTATAATGCCTATTTTAATTAGTTTTTCGAAGGATTTAACCAACGTGTCTTGTTGTGGCCGAAAGCCTTCCGATTCGCCGCGTTTACTTTTGGCCGTACCATGCCGACTTCTTGTGACCGAAGGGTAATTTCTTTTGCTTTCTTTCTTTCTTTTTTTTTTCTTTTTTTTCTTTTGTAGAGCACTTTTGTCATGTAGTGTCCCTTTTTCCTTGCTTTAGGGATTTCAATCCTCTTGTTGACTATACGCCTCCATATTCCCAAATTAATTATTAGAATATTGTCGTGAGGGTCAAGAGAAAAGAAGTAAAGGTGGTAAAAATCAATGGTTTGTGTTTTAGAGGGTTGCTTTTTATTGATACAAGGATTTTGTAAGAATGACTGGCTAAGGTTAAGCCTGGGTGTTTAAGCTTTGTCTAAGCAAACATTTTTCCTTTCTTTTTTTGTATTCGCGCTCTTTGGTTTCATCTCCATTGCTTTTAAATGGCTAGCTGATTTCCCTAGATCGCCCTTTGGGTTTTCGAACTAGGATACTGTGTTTTTGGTCCTAACTTTTGTCTAGGTTCCTTCTTTTGTAAAATTTTGGAGAAATCCTAGCGGACCTTTATTTGTAACCCTAACTTTTGCC